ATCCTGCAGTAACTATAATACACAATAATACATAGTAACTGAGGGTAGAGAGCAAAGTGCTTTGTGAGTGCAGAGTGAAGACAGCTCCCCCACAAGAGGCGACTTGAACGTTTCTTCCTATTTTCAGACACTGAAAGACCAAAGGAAGCCCCATCCCCCTTGCTGACATTCCACTGGGAGAAAATGTTGCTGATACATTGCATTTTTGTGTGTGTGCCTAGGGGCAAGAGGACTTTTCTTTCATCCTGGGTCTTGAAGTAGTGCGGTAGAGGGTGAGGATTTGCAGTCCCAATAATCTGGTTCAAATCTCATCTGTGACACTTACCTGGCTGTGTCTTAAAGCTCCTCAGGTCTCATTTTTCTCATGTTTTAAAAATAAAGATTTTCTCCCACATGGAGTGGTTGTGAGATCAGACAAAATCATCTAGGTAAGCGGCAATGTGAAATAGATCAGAGAATCATAGATTTAGTGTTGGGAAAGTACCCTAAAGGCCATCTAGCCCCACCCTCTCATTTTACAGGTGAAGAAACTGAGGCCTGGGATGGCTATTATTACTATTATCTCTTCCCCTCTAAAGTCCTCTGCCTATGCCTCAAGGCTTGGAGGTGACTCTGGGGTCTTGAAAGTTATGCTAGTCAGGGGCAAGAAATATAATTTACTATTATATATAGTCCTTCACATATTCTGTCCCTACAGATATTACATTTATAGTGGGCATATGCCAAGGAGAGAAAGGAGAAGTCCCTCCTCCCATGCATAGGGGACTTTCTTAGGTGCTCAAGAGGGTAACTGCTTATGACTAAAAGGAACCACACAGGTCATAGAGAGAAGACATAGAGGAAATCAGAGAAAGCGGCTTTGAACAGTCTTACTAGCAGCAGGAGGGCAGAAGGGAATTAACAAGAGATGTAAAGATACTGTTGACACCAGGGATCCCAAACTCTGTGGAATAATACTATAAATTGGGAGGACTATTGGGAAATGCGGGCAGGGCAGGGCCTGACTGTCTATGAACTCATGCGCAAGCCTTTCTCATATATTTGTTGAGTAAATAAAACCTAGTCCATTCTTAAAATTCTTGTTAGCCTGAATACTTTTGGAGGGCTAAGGTCCCTTCTTGAAATATTTTCAGAATTATCCAGGTTCCGAAGCTCTCAGGGTTTCCTAGATTGTCCTCAGGTGCTCTTATCAAGATGAATTTTCCAACAATATTACTCCTGATTCTCTCTTTGACTTGTCTAGAGCTCTCAAGATGGGACTTTGTACCCATCACACCATGGTACAGCCCTTTCAACAGAATATAAGCTCTATGAAGTCGAGGGTGATGTCATTTTTCATCTTTGTACCCTCAGGACCTAGGCACGCAGTTGTCACTTAATAAATGTGCTGATTTCCAGTGTTAAGTCCTCTCAAATCCTACCATGTTGGAAAGCTGAGTTTGGGCCAAATGATGGAGGATAAACCAAGGACCAATCTAGCTAAAGTCAGGGAGAATCTTCTCTAGGTTGACAATGGGTGACAATCATGGTTCTTTTGCTGTAGGGGGGTTGTGATCCATGTTGGAGAAAGGACCATGCGCACATGAGTTCTCAAAATAAGAAGTATCACCCTCATTGATGATTTTTTTTTTTTGCTTTTTGGTGAGGCAGCGACTTGTCCAGGGTCACACAGCTAGTAAGTGTCAAGTGTCTGAGGTCAGATTTGACCTCAGGTCCTCCTGACTCCAAGGCCGAAGCTTTAGCCACTACTCCACCTAGCTGCCCCCTCATTGATGATTTCACAGTTAGTTATTGGATTACAGTGTAACCTTTCTTGGAGCAAGCAGAAATGTAGCATTACAGAACCTCAAATACAGAAGAACCTTAGAAAGCATGTGGTCCAACCATCTCATTTCACAGATGAGGACAATGAGAAATGGGAAATGATGTGCCTCAGTTTCTTCATCTGTAAAATGGAGGTAATAATAGCATCTACCTCCCAGGGTTGTTGAGAAGAGCAAATGAGATAATGTCTGTCAAGCACTTTGCAAACCTTAAAATGCTATAAATTAGCTAGCTACTATTACTATTATTATTAAAATTTACATGGTACTTTAAAATATCTTATTTGATCCTCACAACCACCCTGGGAGGTAAGTGCTATTATTATTCCCATTTTACAGATGAGGAAACTAAGGCAGACAGTGGTAAAATGACTTGCCCATGGTCACCCGGCTAGTGTCTGAGGCCAGATTTGAACTCAGGTCTTCCTGGGTCTAGTATTCTAGCTTGTGCCACTTAGTTTCCTCTAAATGCTAGTGATAATGATGATGATTGTTGTGGTGGTGGTGGACCTGATCATGATGGTGTGTCCAAGTTCACACAGCAGATCGAGATTAGAACCCAAGACACCACATTACCAGTTCAGTGTTCTCCCCACTGCCCTAGGCTAAATACAAGCCTGTCAATACTCTTTTAAAATCGAAGAATCTGAGAAGAGCTGAAAGGGAGCTTCCAGTTTGTAATTTAAACTTTTAAAGGTGAACATAACCATAAAGGATATTTTCCTTCATCAAGCTAAAGAAACTCAAGTAAACTTACTTTTTAAACAATCCCATTTACACAATAAACAATCACATTTGAGAGGTACTTTACATGTTATCTCTTTTGATCCTCACTACAATCCTGGGAGGTAGGAGCTATTATTATCCTCATTTTACAGATGAGGAAACTGAGGTTACTCCCTTAATCAGTGTCTGAGACTGGATTTGAACTCCTGTCTTCCTGACATCAAGCTCAGCACTCTATCCACTGAGCCACTTAGCTGCCTTAGCTTAACTATACTTTAAAATACAAACTTTAAAAACACTACACAAATTACTAAAAAAAAAAATTGGAGCTACTAAGGTGTCTGTATCGAGCATCCAGCCTTCTGACCCTATCCAACATTCTGCAGTGTGCTGGGAAGAGTGCGTGATTTGGAGTCATTGGACCTGGGTCTAAATTGCTTTTGCCCCTCACTAGCTGTATGACCTTGACCAAGCAAATCACATCTCTCTGGAACTCAGTTTCCTCATCTGTAGGCTAAGGGTTGGCCTAGATGTTCTCCTAACCCTCTCCACCTGAAGCAATCTCCAAACTACTAGGAGAATCCTTAGGGCCTGCCAGAGTTTTGGTGTTTTCAGCATCTTTCCAAGGCCTTGTTCTACAATGTTTAAACAGATGTACATTAGGGAAAAAAACCCAAAAAAACAAAAAACACAACCCACCAGAAATGCTGCATTTAAACAGCATGCAGTGATTTCATCCTTAATCTTGGCCACGGTTACTTGGCAAAGAGACAGTATTGCAGGCCCCCTTGAAAAGGCTATCCAATGTTAGTCTTAAGGGACATCTTTACCTGGTTCCTCACTGTCCTCATTGACCTTTAGTGAAAGACTATCTCTGCCCAGCAATGGATTTTTGGCAGATCCCAGGGGAAGGCCCTTCAGACAGATTTCGCTAGGCTGGATGGAAGGAGCCCCTAATTGGGCCAATGAATCATTCTGGGAAGCTCTGGGGCTAGACATAAAATAGATAAAAAAATAAAAGGGGGGGGTGGAGAAGAGAGCCAGGATCTTGTATCGTGCGTATGGCTCCCCTCGAGTTTCTGGCTGGAGGGATTCCACCCCTTCTCCCCTCCCCCCAACCTCCCGCCTCCCCCCGCGCCAGCCAACCAACCAACTGAAATGACCAAACGATTTGGCAGGCTCCGGGGCGAGCACATGCTGCCGCTGCGGCTGCGGCTCGGGCAGCTTCAGTGCGCGCAGCGCTTCCCGGGGGGCTGCCAGATCTCCGGAGCGCTCTAGCTGGCCTGGCCGCCGGGAGTCTCCCGCGCGGGGAGCAGGGCGGGTTAGGGCTGCCCGGCAGGGGCCCGGAGGGGAAGACAGGGGCGGGCGCTGACCTCGTGGAGCCGCCGCAGCCACCCCACGGTCGCCCCTGGAGGAAGTGGAGTGGTGACCCGGCGAGGATGGCGATGGCGCTGCCGCTGAGCCCGCAGCCAAACTTTGCGAGAGGCACACATGGACAAAGTTAGCTGCCGCGCCGGAATAAAAGAGCGGGCGGGCTCTGGGAAGGGGGGCGAGGCAGACTCTCCGGCGGCGGGGAGCGCTCGAGCCGGCGGATTAAAACCCATTAAAGATATATTTATTGCCAAAGCGTCCCAGGATCTCCGGGGCCAGAGCAGGAGAGCAATCAGCTCCTTCCCCGCAGCGCCAATCACAGCCTAACGGAGAGGGAGGAGCGGGGGGAGGGGGGAGACGTCCCCTGCGAAAACACACTGCTCACACTCACTCGCACACTCACACTCACTCACAAGCACGGAGACACAAACTTTTGCAAGCGGATCGTCTCTCGCTCCGGGCCCCCCCGCGCGCCGGCCGGGAAATACGCTGCGCCCCGGACACTCGGTGCATGGAGGCGGCTCCACCGAGGACGCAGAGAGCCCGAAGCCCGGGAGCAGGCGCCGGCCTCAGTGCGGAAAGCTTCCCTCGCGGACGTCCGAGCGCCCCATGGACAAGAGGAACGAGCTGGAGAAGGAGCCCCCGATCTCCCGTAAGCAGCGGCTCATGGCAGCCATCGCGTCCGGCGGCGAGAGCCTGGGGACGGCAGCCTCGGGGGGCGGCGGCGGTGGTGGCGCCGAAAAGCCCCCCAGCAGCGGCGGCGGGGGCTCGGCGGCTGCTCCGCTCTCGTGTTTCATCTGCGGCGGGGGGATCGGCCGCGGCAAGGAGCTGAAGCTGCAGGTAAAGCAGCCTGCGCCGGGGCGCGGAGAGGCGGCCGGAGCCGGGGCTGGAGCGGCCGGGCCCGGGGGCAGCCTGCAAGCCCAGCCCTTCTTCCCCTTCCTGCAGCAGCAGGAGCCGGCGCCCGGAGCTCGGGAAGTGTCCCCTGCGGACGGCTGCGTGCTGGTGTGCGCCGTGTGCCGCTGCTTCCTGGGCGAGCAGTGGGCAGCGTTCGAGCGCTCGAGGACCCCCGTGGAGAAGCGCATGTACTGGCTCAAGCGGCCTTACCAGTGCGAGGCGGGCGGGGGCGCTCCGGGCCGCCGCGCCGCGGCCCCCCAGGAGTGGAACCTCTCCTACGCCCTAGAACCGGGCGAAGAGGACGAAGACGAGGACGACGACGAAGGGGAGGGGGCCGGAGGCGACGGCGGCGCCAGGAGGGGCGCCCGCCGCCCCCAGGAGGAGGCACAGGACTCGGACTTATCTTCCCTCTCGGACACAGACCACCTCTCAGAGCCTGAGCCCGCCCCAGGCCCGGCCCCCAGGGACCAGGGCGGCCCAGGCTACGGCCCGCCCCCGCCTAAGGAAGCGGGCGGGTGTCCCCAGCTGCTCAAGCCTCCTTCAGCCCCTCCCCAGGGAGTCCTCCGCGGACCCGGGACAGGGGTGCTCATGGGGCGATTCAGAGAGTGGCCTCCCTCTGCAGTACCCCCCACACATACTGGCTCAGATACTCCCACCCCTGGAGAAGGAGGTGTGGAGGGGACAACTGTGCAACCCGATCCTGGGCGCAAAATGGGCACCAGGAGGAAGAAAAAAGGAACAGCAAGGCACTGGGTCCCCGAAGACAGCCCCGGTGTCCTGCGGGGCATTCAAGGCAACTGGCGGGGGCCACCTTTCCAGTGCCCCCCGGGAGATGGTCTGAAAAATAACACTGGCTTCTTGGCTGCCAGCCAGGGGAGGGCATCCCAAACACCAGGTCCCAAGCAACTTCCTGAAAGTCATGGGGGGTATTGTACCTCTGAGGAGGGTGAGATCAATATCACCAGCGATGAGGAAGACCAGAAGAAGCAGACTTTTCCCAACCCCTATAGTCGCTGGGAGGTTGCCCCAAAAGGTGGTGGCCTGGCCGACAAGGAGAATGGGAGCAGCAATAATACAGTGTCCCGAGACCCCTGGGCTCCTGGCCCAGACAACACCTGCTGCTACATCTGTGGCAACCTTCTAACCCTGGCCTCTCAGCACCAGATTCATGTTCAGAAGCAGGAGAAGACTTCCCAGGCCCCTTTCTTTCCTTTCCTGTGGCTGCATACCCCACCCCCTGGGGCCCTGCCCATCAGCCCTGGGGGCAGCACCCTGGTGTGCTCCTGCTGCTTCTCTTCCCTCATGCAACAGTGGCAAAGCTTTGAACTGGCCAATGTACCGGTCCTGCAGAGGCTTTATGTGGTGCCTCTGAACCCAGGGATGCCTTCCAAAGGGATGAGGCCCCTGAAGGAAGAGGGAGCTCCTGCTGGCCCTCAGAAGGAGGCCTGCTACCTCTGTGGAGAGGACTGTGCCCGGGATTCCCGGACAGTGCCCACCAGAATCATCAACGGTAGTGCCAAGAACACCATGCATTTCCCTTTTGTGAATCTCCTGCCTTGTCCACCCAATGCTAAAGGACTTAACAGGCACTGGGAAGTCCACAGCTGCCCCAAGTGCTATGGGGTCCTGGAAGACATTTGGTCCATGTATAGGGCCTGCCAGAATGAGGAGCTCATAAACTCAGTGCAGAGTTTCCTGGGGAGATACCATCAGGTGTTTTCAGCCACTGATTCAGGGGGTTTAGCAGTACATCCCTCAGTGAAAGGGGGCCCTTTGTCCGTGTGCTATATCTGTGGAGCTGAGCTGGGGCCTGGGAAGGAGTTTCAGCTCAATGTGAACCCTCCAAGTCGCTTTGGGGAGAAGGAACCTTTCTTCCCATTCCTTACAGTCTATCCTCCGGCCCCCCGGGCCAGACCCGCTGACTCCACGGGGCTGGTGGCCACCTGTGTGCTCTGCTACCATGACCTGCTAGGACAGTGGCTTCAGCATGAAGGGAGAAGCTCCCAGCACCCCATCAGTGCCTGGTCCCGTCAATACAAAGTGGAGACCTTCGTGTGCTTCTTCTGCCAGCAGGAGAAGAAGCGATGCCTTGGATTAAAAGCTGTGCGGGTGGCCCGGCTGCCCATGTTCCTCTACACCCTGAGAGCTGGGCACAGCTTGCTCGTGGATGATGGCAAGCAGCTGATTATCGGGGCTTGTATGGAGTGTGGCACCGTGGTGTTTGCTGGCAAAGCTCTGACCCACCCGGGAGTGCTGGTCAGGGCCTCCCCGGCTACTACACAGAAGGTAGGTGGTTATCTCACACGTGCTCCTCACTCTTTCTTCCTGACTCTGGAAAAACGGCAAGGGAGAGGGAGGGAAAGGGAGAGAAGGGAAAGGTGTTTTCTGCCTCTCAGGAGAGCAGGGAAGCTTTGCTTTAGGCTGGTGGAATAGAGTGTTTTGGTTGTCCCTTGTGGGGAAAACACAAGGGATGATGTCAAAACAGTTGTCTCAAGTGTCACTGGGTCAGAAAAGTTTTAGAACCATTGACAGGAAATAGATGGAATCAATTCCAAGGGCTCCAGAGCAAAAAGTGGTCCTGTTAAAGAGTTTAGTCTGACCCCAAAACAGTTGCCATTGGAATCTGAAGTCAGGTATGTGGACATTAGAACCTGTCAAAAGGAAAGAGTGTCGTGTCTCTTGTGAGCGTCCTAACAACATGGGTAATAATTGTGCAGGTCATAGCGAGGTCTTGGCATTTGCTGTCTCTGAAACATAGCCATCAGATAGAACTCTGGGGCTAGGGTGGAGGTGGGACACAGAGACGGGGATGCAGAACATGGTCTCATCTCAAAAGAAAGCAGCCCAGGATGAAGTGACCCAGGAGGGCTGCTTACATTGCTCTGTTGGGTAAATGGTGCCTGCTGTCACTGAAATTAAATTATGATAGTGCATAGTTTTAAGCAAATGTTGTTCAGTCTCTAAAGTTTGTCTTAATTCTCTTTGGCCTTGCCATCATCCATCTCTAAAGGAGAGGTCTGATCTAGGCTTAGAGCATTGAGCAGTGGAGTTGGTTAAGTGGAACTTGGGTTTTGTTTTTTGTTTTTTTTTTTGCCTTGAAATAATTTCCCTATCCATGTGAAAGGGTTCTATGCCAATAACATGCTTCCAGCAGTCTTTGATGTGCATGTCTATCTAGGTGGGGTCCTTCCTTGCATGTTACACATGTGCTGTACATCTCTGAATGGGCATGCCGTGGGAAGTTCCATAATGCAAATATAGTTTTGTTTTGTATTTTTTTTTAACAACCCCCCTCTCAATTTTGATATTTGGTGCCTTTGTTCTTACCCTAAACCTGGTTTTTAGTTGTCTTTTGGAGACTTGTGTGGTTTGCTAAAAACCATCATGTTCCGTCCAAACCTTGTTTCTGGACATCGTGTTTTCAATGAGATAGACATTGATCTCTCCCAGTTTCTACTGTGAATCGCACAACTTGTAAATTCCTGGAAACTTTGGAACTACCGAAGTGAACTCTGGTTTGTTAGGAATTCGGGCCAGAACAGACTCGGGAGGGCCAGTAGCAGGCCCTAACCAGCCCCTCAGGCAGGGACTCAGTTCGAGGCTCCACCCACTTCAGCTCTCCTCCGGATCCTGGGGTGACCCAACAGCGTGTAGGTCATTCAGGGATGTGGAGGATTTTTAAGGCTTGGCTGCAGCTCCTCCCTCCTTAATCATTATGCTCTTTTATGATTCATACACAAGCAAGATGCCATGACAAACATGAATTCCCTCCTCCTGAAGTTTTTTATCAGTCAACAAATACTGAGCACTTGCTATAGTCCCAGCATGGTTCTAGGTACTTTAGGGGATGGTTTGGGACTTTGAGGGAGATGCCCAAGTCAGGTATCTTGATGCAGGGGGAAGGGAAATGAACTTGGAACGTCCCAGCCCAGCCCTGTGTTGTCTCAGGCAAGTCAGTGAGGAGACCTCAGTTTTGTCATCTGTAAAAGAGGTAGTTGGATTAGATGATGTCAAAGGTCCCTTTCAGCTATAGATTTATGATTTCAGAAGACATTTCGCTTCTCTGAGAATTTGTTTCCTCATCTGTAAAATGAAAAGGATGATGCTTAAGCTCCTTACTTCCCCTGGCTGTGTTTCTAAGTTATGGTCCCTGCCCTCGAGGGGCTTATGTTAGGGAGTTAGGGAGATGACTTTCAAACAACTGGAGGACAATTCAGTGTTAAACTGTTAGGGGAGTTTAGATGAGAGGGTTATTGGTGTGGTCTGGGGTTATTATGAAGCCCTAGAGAGGGCTTCCTAGATGAGACTGAACCTAAATTGGGCCGTGAGGGATGTGTAGGCTTTGGATAATAAGAACTAGCATTTATATAGAACTTTCAGGTTTGCAGAGAACTTCACAAGTATTGTCTCATCTTGCGCAATTTAATTCAATAAGCATTTATTAAGTGCTTGTTCTGTGACAGGCACTGTGCTAACCCCAGGGATACAAAAAGAAGCAAAAAAAAAAATCCCTGTCCTCAAGGAGCTTACAATCTAAAATTAACATCTATATAGCATTTATTATGTGCCAGGAAGCATTTTATAATTACTATCTCATTTGACCCTCACAACAACTCTGGGAGGCAGAAGTTCTATTACTATCCTGATTTTACAGATGAGGAAACTGAAGCAGAGAGAGGTTAAGTGATTTGCCCAAGGTCACACAGCTAGTAAAGGTGGGATTTGAACTCAAGTCTTCCTGAAGCCAGGCCCAGCACCCTATCCGCTATGCCACCTAGATGCTTGAAAGAAGAGAGGAAGGGTGCTTGAGGATGTGGGAGACATAAGCATAGAGGAAAGACTGAGAAGGGCATGTTTTAGAGATGATAATAACTATAATATGGAATAACTATATATGATGACTATAAATATAAAATAGTATATATTTATTGTGAATATAAATATATACTATTATATAATATATGACAATATATTATATAATAGTATCTTACCTATATATTATCTTAATATAAAGATTTAATATATTTATTTAATTATAATATATAAATAAAGAGATATACCACCACTATGATAATATCTATGTAGTACTTTAAGGTTTGCAAAATCTTTATGTACACCAGTGGTATTGAACTCAAATAGAAACAGATTCTTTGCTGGCTCTTAGAAAACCACAAATTAACATTATTTATGTTTTATTATATTTTTATTTTGTTAAACATTTCCCAATTTCATTTTAATTTGGTTCAGGCTACACTCTGGAGCAGGTTGTGTATAAACTGACCTGGCCAGAGCAGAAGAGATGTTGAGGGAGTTCTCAGAAAGAAGGTTGGAGTAAGTAGGACAGAGTAAAGTTATAAAAAGCCTTGAATTTCAGCTAGAGGGTTTGCCTTTTACTTGGTAGGCAATAGGGAGCCAGAGCCAGAATCTGAGCAGGAGGGTCTTCTAATGAAAGCAAGTTTTTCCAAAGACTAATCTGGCTGGACTATTTATGTGCAGTGGATTGAAAAGAGAAGACACAACCAGCAGAGATCAACAGTGAGGCTGTTGAGCTAATCCCTGGTGTGGGGAGGAAACGTTGAATCTACAAGGTTTCTGAAGCAAGAAAGGCAGCTGTAATAGAGACAAAGGAGGGGAGAGAAGCAGATGTTAACTCTGAGATTCCTGGCTTCAGGATTGCTTTGAGGACCCATGATTCCCTGGCCATATGTACTCCCTCACCCAGTGTAGCTAGTGGCCCTTCCATGTCCTGGTTGGTGATCATGATGAGTTATTGCATTGAGTGAAGCTGGTTCTGGGAATTGCGATGCTCATGTGGATGCTTCTGGAAGGTCCATTTCCAGTGCTCAGGAGCTGCAAATAAAACTGTTCTGTTACTCATCCTTTCTGAAATGAATTTATAAGTGATAAAAATCCTTTTGGAGAAACTGAAACATTGTAATTAGTAATAATCAGTAGTATTTATAAAGAGCTTGAAGATTGGCAAAGCACTTAACATTATCTCATTTGATCCTTAGACCAACCCTGTAAGGTATGTGCTATTATTATCCTGACTTTATTGTTGTTGTAAAGTCCTATCCTACTTTTTGTGACCCCATTTGGAGTTTTCCTTGGCAAAGATACTGGAATGGTTTGCCATTTCTTTCTCCAGCTTATTTGACAGATGAGGAAATTGAGGTGAACAAGGTTGAATGACTTGCCCAGGGTCACACAGCTAGTAAGTGTCTGAAGTCAGATTTGAACTCAGGTCTTCTTGACTCTAGGCCCAGTGCTCTCCCATTTTACAGATGGGGAAACTGAGGCTAAGAGAGGTTAGGTGAGTTGCCCAGGGTCACATAGGTGGTAAACATCTGAGTCTTGATTCAAACTCGGGTCTTCCTGATTCTGAGTCCAGTGCTCTAACATAGGAAGGGACTTTGGAAAGAAAGACTGTCTAGCCTAGCCCCATCTTGTACAGATAAGGAAACTGAGTTTGTAGTTGTATGTGAATCGGGGCCTTCTATTTACTGCTGTGAAATCCAGATTTGCAGCATGGGGCCCGGAAGCTCTTAGGCTGCCAGAGTGGAGTTGGTTCTCCTTGAAATTTCTGGGCAGTAGCTGAAACGGGACCTGGAGGGTCATAGGTAGGGCATGATGGACGTCAAAGAATGTGTCCAGGATTCGATTACATACGCTCGTTGTCTTCTAGAGTTTTTGTGTCTTTTCTAACCAATTTGATTATAAGTGACTTCCCCTTCATCCCCCCACCCAAGGGCAAAGATTATGTCTCTGATTTCTTTCAGCTTGGTGCTGGATATTCAGGTAGATTTGGGGCTGAAATCATCATCATCTTCATCATCATCATCATCATCATCGTTGTCATCATCATCATCATCATTTATATGGCACTTTGAGATTTGGAAAGTGACATATATTTATATATAAAATCTCATTTGACACTCAGAGCACCCTTGTGATATAGGTGCTGTTATTATCCCCATTTTACAGATGAAGACACTGAAACTGAGAGATGTAAAGTAATTCACTCAGGGTGGTTCAGCTACTAAGGATCTGTGGTAGAATTTGAACTCAGATCTTCCTCACTCCAAGTCTAGTGTTCTAGCTACTAGTTGTGTAAGGATCTTGGAGGACATTGAGACCATCCTTCTTGTTTTCCAGATGAGTAAATAGAGTGGGCAGCTAGGTGGTGTAGTGGTTAGAGTACCGGGCCTAGAGTCAGGAAGACTCATCTTCCTGAGTTCAAATCTGGCCTCAGACATTGACTAGCTCTGTGACTCTGGGCAAGTCAT